AGAGAGAAGAAGGTGCTCTTCTCTGAAAAAAATTTCTCAGAGACGTTCTGTTTTTGCGGACTTTTCTTTGGCAAAAAAAATTTGGCATGGGCACACAGAAAAAAGTAATGTTCTTGCACATTCTGAGATTTGTATCTTGCTATCTTTTATAATCAAGCTACTCATGCGATTATGTCATGAATTTTACTTTTTTTCAATATTATATCTTATTTATGTTTTCATTGATTTGACGAATCCTTTATTTTAAACGATGTTTACACAACTATTCACAACTATTTCCCAGCACAATAAAAGCACAAAATGTAAAAGAAAAAATTAAAGTGCTTTGGAAATCATTAAATTTGACACGGAACCACCAATATTTAAAAAAAAACACACATTATATTATTATTCTCCTTTGATAAATTGATACATATTTTTTTTTCATCAATTTAAATGAGAATAATCAATGCAGAGTGTGCAAACATTTCAAAATCATGAGTTAAAAAACGCTGACTATGCAAGTATAAATATTAAAGCCTAACAGAGCGGAGCGGCGTGCTGCCAGCGGGAGAGGCTCACTGGCGCCTACAAACCTAAGTGGATACTTCAAGCATTGTGCAATGCTTGAAGTATCCACTTAGGTTTGTAGGCGCGTTTCGCGCTGGCCGCCCGCCCGCCGTGCGGTGGCGCCTGAAGCAACTATTTCTCAACAGAGGTGTTGCGCAGTATTATACAAAATTGAACGTATTAAGAATGACAGGCATCCTTTAAAAGTACAGATCTTTTCTCGCATAATAAATCAAGAGACTTATTGTACATTGGAAAAATCTAAGAGCCTTTAGCTGAGGCAAATATAGAGGTTTATCCGGTTCAGGTATAACAAGGTGGGAATTTCTTGAAAGATAATTAAGTCCTGTTACACCAAAGAGGTGTAGAGAGTTTTAGTGAATTTTGTCTCATGGAATTGTCGCTCCCCCATTTTTACCAAAACTCTCAACTATATATTATTCTCCGTTGGATCAAACAGACAAAACCAAAAAACAAGCAAACCCTCATTCTTCCAAGACATTAAAAATTTTCATCCAAAAACGCAATTGTCGTTAGTATTTACATGTGGACCAATTAACTTTGGGTCTCAACTGGCACGTGGACCAAAACTACCGAAGAAACGCGTGGACGTAAATTATTGGAAAAAACAGGTGCTCGGACAAAAAATAGTTGACGAAATGTTCTATAACCATCGTTACAATGAATACAAACCTCATATTTAAAGTTTATACTTATTCGTTAATGGCGTCGAAAGAAAATATTCAGCATTGCTTTTAAAGTGAGCAAAATGACGTAAGCACAAATAAACTGGAGAATCTATCGTGGTGAATTACGCTCCAAGTCATAAAAATTAATTGCTCTGGTTTGATTTTAGATACACGCTAGAGGAAATTAAACCCGCATATCGGAGTTGACACAGTGGTTTAGGGGCACCCGTGGGTTTTAAATATGGATTTTTCAGCTCTAGAGACCGGAGCATCCGCAAACTACGAACGATTTTAATTTCCGGACAATGCATGTGGCAGTATATTTTAATCTGAACTATACATCCGAACAAATTGAACTTAGAGTGGTGCGTGAGCTTTGCACCTTTTTATACACGGAAATTATCATCGAATGCAGATAGACAACGTTCGAAAAACAATTCTCGGTATCATAAGAGGATTGAAAAATAATGAACAGTCCTACTCAGGGAAATAAGATAATGAATTAATAATAAACTGAATTCGAAAATTTAGAGAAATGCGGTTTGACTTGTGGTCTGATTTGAGGATATTGCACTGTTAATCTTCAGTTCGGTAGTAGATCGTAAAAATAAATGAGTGATGCTTCTTTATATTGGTTGGAACTTTTAAGAACTCGCTCTTTTAACGCAATTAATTGATCGCTATAGGAAATAACGAAAATGTCATATTGAAAAAAGGGGACCAAAAAAGAGGGAAAACAGCAGTTGAGAGCACATGGCCTCATCGAAAAAACGGATTGCTGCTTTAACATTAACTTGTTAGAAAAAGTGACAGACAGGTTTTAAATGTACATTTTACAATAGTGGAAAGCTAATTCAACCACGGGTGTGGTTAAATTGGCAGTTTTTATTGTAAAATCTACATGGAAACATGTCTGTCACTTATTTAACGAAAAAATAATTGTTAAATTAGCAATTTCATTTTATCCGTGCAGGGTCTAAATTGGTCGATAAGGGCGTATTAATCAGATGTGGCGCACTATCATACAAGCTATGGGGCAGTGGCGTGGCGTGGATGATCGATTATCGAAATCTCGCCATTTGAAGCTATGGTAAAGAATCGATTACTAAGGTGTTCGCTGCGAACACCCTGATAATCGATCTTTTTTCATAGGTTTGAGTGGCGTATCAATCATTATATCGCAAATCACGCCACGCCACTGCATGGGGCACTGCCTTACCAAGCCTGAAGTAGGAATGACGCATACCGAGAACTAGTTGCAGCCAGTTGGACGTATTTCTGTCAAACGGAACTATGTGCATTAAGACATGAGCCCTGAGATCCATAAGAATTCATGCATAACAGGGCTTACGTCATAATGAACATAGTTCCGTCTGACAGAAATACGTCCAATTACGTACCTGTGTGTTCGTGTAGAGTCGTGGAGGCTAAAACTGTTTCTACGTCCAAAATAAATGTATGTGGGTACCAAAATCATTTTAATTTTTGAAAAACGTGCTGAAAATTTCCTCAGGATAAAATTGTTTCATAAAGTTCATTAAAGTCAACAGATTCAAAGCTCATTTTTTTTGAGGCGACCGCGCGCAGACTGGAGACATTAAACTTTCAATTTAAATATTCAAAATAATGAGATTGTGGAGGATGGTTCTGTTTGTTGCATTGCATCAATTTGCATTTGAGTGCCCGACCGTTTTAAAATTGATTTGTTGCAATTTCATTGGCGTCCGAAGGATTTTCATCTTATCGACAAACTTCAACCCTCAGCTGGGAATCAAAGTCGAGCGTTTTATGTGTTTGGGCATGCATCATGGAAGTTTCACTGCTCAAGTTTTGCCGCCCGATTGTTGAAACTATTTTACGCTAAATCGGTATGAAAAGACAGGGCACAGCCAAATCTTCTCTTTCCCTCATTCCTTCTCAGTCTTCATTTTCTTCTTCATCTCATTCTCCTTTTTCTCCAGCTTCTCCTTATATTGATTCCTCCAGTTTTTCTCCTGCCTCTTCTTCTGTTTTTGTTTCTTCTTCCGTCTTAGCTTCTGTTTCTTCCGATGTTTTATGTGCTCTCATTTTATACATGTAAGGATCCGCGAAACCCAAGTCTGTTTATCTGACTAGGGATATCTGGGTCCTTAGATATAAGAAATGATGATCCCATGGGGAAACTTTTCAACTATAAGAGACCCACTATAAAGGACGCCAAGACACTTTTGGCTAAGAGTTAACTCTACAATCTAAAGATAAAAAGGCGACCGAGGCAACAGGAAAATTGAAAGTGAATTTTTTTAGTCGTAGCGAAAACATGACCCTCCCCCCTCCCCCACCTTACCCCGGTGTTACTCTCCCGCTAGCTTTTTGTTTTCGCTTTCCACCTCAGCGACCCGCGGCGTTAACGACCAATGACAATTTCATTCCCCTCCATCCAGTTTACTCTACATAAAACTTCATTTCACGCTTGTTTCTGGTTTATTTTAGACTGTCCCCTTCGTCTCTTTTCCTTGAGTTTACCACCTTGTCTACCCTCTTTATCTCGCCTTGTTTGTGTGCTATTAGTCATCGTTATCAATCCCTCTTTTGATACGTTGAAATAAACGCGAAAGTAGTTGCTACTTCATTTTGAATCTGAAAAATGCTGAACAAGTTTGCTATTAAGATCTTCATTCCACGGGAAAGGGATTGATTGTAAGTTATTACGACGAAGATGTATGTGTGCCCGCTTAAAATGGCTTTCAGTAGTTACCAGTCTCATTCGTTCGCATTAGAAGAGGAACTAATTTCTGAGATACTTGATTCGTCGAACTGTCTAACATCGCGTGGGTCAAATAAACGGAGAGTGACACAACTTATGAGCATTTGGTGTAGCTGAACAAGCTAAAAGTATATAGGTACAAGTTTAATAATTCTTAGAGTAGCGACGAATTTTCATTACGATAAAATCACTCTAGAATAATTATCAACCACATTCAATTATTTACCTTTTCTTGCGACAATTCTTCTCTCTGTATTTTCTTATATTTTGTTGGTTCAAATACTTTTCATCGAAGTTAATTTTTTTGTAAAGAGGAATGCAAAATTATGAGTCAATAACGTAAAAAAATGCGAGGTTGTCATTTAATGACTATTCAAAGTCGGAAAGGGTGGGTAGTTTTTCAAATTGGGTTCCGGCACGTCCTTGAAATTAATTTATTTATCAATTGGACCGCGTTAAGCAGAAATGAAGCAAGCCGTACCAGCGTTTGCCAAATGTAGCTGGGCAATTTACTTTTTTACCAGAGAATGTTTACGCAGATTCGTTTGAAAATTTTAAGGAATTTGCTTCGTGTTTTACACATTGGCGGATCCAGCGAATTGGCAACATTGTTTTTCTCCATTCAAACCTATGGAAATTTATCGAATCTTGGAGGGGCCAGGAGCCAGGTGCTCCGACAAGAATCGATTATTTGACATAGGTTTAAATTGAGGGAATCCGGTGTTGCCAAATTGCTGGATCCGCCTCTGGCTTTACAGAAAATTCCCTGAAATTCGCATCCAAATCCGCACAACCGTTTTCACGTAAAAAATTAAATTGCCCAGTGAAATTAGGCAATAGCTGACGAGGCTTGGCTCCTTTCTGCTTAACACGGTCCAATTCACAGTATCTTGTGAAGAGTTTCCTCCTGGATACATTTCAGGGCTTTTGAAGTTTCATAAAAAGGAGATAATTTCGGGTGCCGTTAAAAAATCAAGAGAGGCTAATTAAAGAAAATGAAAATAATTAGGACTCACTTGGATGGGGAACCAACAGAAGGCGAAATTGGCTACGACGATGACGACCATCCTGGTGACCCTCTTCTTGCCCCGACGGCTCTCTGCCGAGATGTGGCCGCCGGGCGCCACTCCCCGCCACAGCCGGAAAAGCATGAAGAAATAAAGCGCGCAGATCATCGTCAGCGGGATCATGTAGGCCGTCAGAAAAAACGAAATCTGTAACAAATTTCAAATTCAATGAGCTCAAAAGTCACTCCCGCTGCTTCCAGAATGTGTAGATAATGTAGAATATCCAGAATATAGAGTCGGATCAAATGAATTACCTTTTGCAATAAGGAATTACTATATTTCTGTCCCATTTTAGAAGCAACATATATGCCATTAATTTCCCTGTGCAGATAAGTGTTTTTATGGGAGAGACAGTGATAGTGGTTCCTTATTGCAAAATGCAATCCAAATAATGCTCAGCTATTGATACTGATTGAACGAAGACGCTTTAACATACCTTTATCGCATAAAGTTAATCAGTTTATATTAACATACCAACACATTTCAGCTAGGAGCTATCTTCATGTTGTAGTTGAACAATTGGATCACATTTTGCAATAAGGAACCACTATTTCTGGGCAATTTTAGAAACAACATACATGCCATTGGTTTCGCTATGCAGATATGTGCTTTTATGGGCGATCCAGAGATAGTGGTTCCTTATTGCGAAATGTAATCCAAGTCGTCACCTTCCGACCTAAGTATCGCAAGAAATCAATTTTGAGAAAACTACCGCTACCGTTAAACCAATAAATTATAGATCATCGTCCTTCGTGTTGTGGTTCGATAACAGAAGTACTAAATAAAGGAGAGCTCCGAATGAGCCGGTAGGCCATTTGATAACATTGCCGCTAGTATACTAGAATTCTACATATATACGCAGGTTGAAATCAATAAGCGCCCCCTATCGGCTGAGCGTTTAGCACAAATGTTTATGGCTAAAGTCGAAAATGCGTACGCTTCCAACCGCGAAGTTGCAGATATCCGCGCACATTTATATTTTCTTCCGTTTATATATAAATTAACAATCATTTTGATGGACATTTAGGATAGTTTCCTTTTCAAAAATAAAACATAATTTAAGATTTTGAGACGTTGTAATAGGAATAAATGTTTTCCGAACTTAGCCGTCGATACGGAGGAGATGAGGAGAGGCAAGAAGAAAGCATGGTCCCGACAGCTGAGAGCGTCGTTTACTTTTCAGTTTACTTTACTTTGCAATTACTTCTGAGCCAGCTCGAGCTGAGCACCGCACCGTGAGACTAACATATTTTGAGTTGCACGTAAATATGAGCGCTGTAAACAAGTGTATAAATCTTATTTGGGAATTGCGTTAACTCGTTATACGTAATGCAGTGGCAACGGAAACGCTACACGCAAAAGGGGTCGAGTAAATAGGAGAGGTCGGACATAATTCAGAAACTTTAAACGCTCATAACTCCGTTTGTACAAAACTTAGAGGTTCTAAAAGTGGTTCCATTGGTTCTCTCGTGAGATTTTCTTCTAGAGTCACCCCTCAAAGTTTAAAATGTGACGGAATAAACATTAAAATTTGCAATTTTAGTAAAAACTTTCATGTCCAATCCCTCTAATTGACTCGATCCACTGTGCGACGGCTCCCTGAACAGCTCGAGGAATGCCATAATATCAAAACACCACTTTGGAAGCAATTTCAGGCATCCGCCGCCACTACAATTGACTGCAGCGAATTCATAAATTTTGCACGTATTTAATATCGAAAATTCGGCTAAAAAGTCTCGCGTCTGTTTACAGGGAGTGTTTCTCGCCACACATGGATACAATTGAAATCAAGTTTCAACATGTATGATTTTTCATCGGAATTTTAAGTGGAACACGCTGGTCTTATTGTATAGAGCTAAGCAGAAAAAAAAGGTTGGAAAATCATAACGTCTTATATTTTCAAATATTATTAATTACGGAACGAGTTCTTGGACTATCTATTTCAATCAGTATAATTCGAACTCATTTTGGATCGGGCCATTAAAGATCGGAATGTGCAAGGCAGGAAAGCTATCGCGATGCTAAATGGGGTTCTCTGGGACCAGAGTATCTCCAAGGAGACCAAAAGGAAAATTTACAACGTCATCGTGAAGAGTATCGTAACTTACGGGAGTGAGGTCTGGCAACTTAAGAAAAGAACTGAAGACATGCTTAGGGCAACCGAGATGGACTTTTGGCGAAGGTCTGCTGGGATATCGAGAAGAGAGCGTATCCGCAATGAAAGGGTACGCGAGATAATGGGTGTGGAAAAGGACATCGTGCACGATATCAGGTCCAAGCAGTTGGTCTGGTATGGACATGTGCGAAGGATGGCAGATGATCGGTTGCCCAAGCAGGTCTTCGATTGGGTTCCTCCCGGAAGGCGACGGCGTGGACGTCCTGTGAAAGGTTGGCGACAAGGGGTGGAGGAGGAGATCAGAAGGTGCCAATTGCCTGATGATCTCTGGGAGGATAGGGGGCAATGGCGATTGGGCGTCGCAGAGCGCGAGGCGGCGCTATAATCGCGACTTTATGTATGTATAATTCGAACTCATGAAAATGATTTCATATAGTCATTAGTAGTATTGAAATTATAACATTTTCAATTATAATTATAATGAAAACAACCAAGAAATCAATTTTCAATCAACCACATCAGCTATTGCCAAATTTAATCGGGCAATTTAATTTTTTACATGAAAACGGCAGTGCGGATTTAGGGGAAAATTTCAGTGAATTTTCAGCATAGTACGAGGTAAATTCCTTAAAATTTTCAAAGAAATCCGCACAAACTTCCTCTTGTAAAAAATGAAATTGCCCGGTTAAATTTTGCAATATCTGATATGGCTTGTTTTTAAAAAAGCGCTAAAATAAAAATTAAAAAAAAAACTTCATAATGTCGTCATCTTGTTATAGACATTGATCAGACTAATTAAAATTTTACTAAAACTTGATCCTTACTCATAAAAAGAGAATATGTACAACATAAATCCGTAGAGTATAAGCATGCTCAATGTTCATGATATATATATTTTTCATAGTAGTTGTGTAATTTCTGGATTTAGAAAAAATGCATTTGATACCATTTTAGATCAAATATAAAGTAATAGTTACACCTAATTAATTGATATACTGGCGAGCGACCTTTTGAAATATGACTTTCAGCAAGAATCGAAGTTAATATGCTGTGTTAAGATACCTTGCGATGTGTACTGTTCTCTGCTTTGTTTTAAAATAAATAAAACCACAGGCACCACTGTACCAGCTTAAGGGAGGTCGCCTCATATGCCCTGTTCAAATGAATCTGTAACTGCATTATTGATATGATAATTTCCTCTACTCAGTCCCTTACAAAAGAGCCATAATGGAAAAGGGACTTCATTATGTAAACAAACTGATTCAGAATTTCATAGCGGGTAGCTTCATGAAAGCACACAATACATCTGTTCAAGAGGCTTAGGTGAAACATACAGTTCTGCCTGTCATTGACTTGCAGCTGCAACCCCTACGCTGCGGTCAAGGTATTGATTGTCTGATGCATTGCGGAGAATGTGTTTCGGGAATTTAAGCCGGAAACTTAGGCCTCCTCTGAAAATTTTCTGTTAGAATTTCGACTGAAGAAGAGGAAATAGGTAACTTAATTAATTATTGAATTTTTATACAAATCATTAATTCTGACAGAACTTCAGAGAAGTGCTTACATCGCATATTGTCTGAATAAAGGGCCCTAGGATATGGAATTGTTTAACATGTTTTTTATAATCACCAAAAAGTTCAATGGAAGTCTATCAGTGAAGTCTCAAAACTAGGAATTCATTAGAACCTTCTTCGTAATTTTTTTGAAAACGAGCAAGCAACTGGTCTATTTACGTATTGAATCATTATTCAACGAAATCGTTCATTTGCATAGAAGAATAGTATTAAAATAGAATTGCAATTTCATTTCATCTGACTGCAGCCGTGCTGTAAATATTAGTCTTTTTTGCAGCTTTGAATATTTCATCACCTCTTCATTCTTTAGTTTTTACTTTTAAATTAAAGCTGTGACATAATGTCAGCGCGGTAAATGCATATTTGACAGTTGAGTCTCACCGGAGTTCTACTCTCAGTTAATCAAAGTTAAAATTATAAGTAGAGCCTTGGCGAAAGCAAAAACAAAAGCGGCAAAAATTTTCTAAGATTACGTCAGGTCAAACTCGGTTAAACCTCAAGATTTTTTTGCCGGGTGGAAGCGGATTAATACCGGATGCGTTGAGCTCCCGGCGAAGTCGGTCGAGCTTACGCTTCATTTAATTTTTTAAAAATTTGCAGTCTCGGAGTTCACGCCTGGTCAAATTCCACGCTGCAATCATGCAGGTGAAAATAAAAATTTACAGGCCAGAAGCATATCTATACGTTAGATTGCGGTCCACGTTCAATTGGAGCGCAAGTCTTCGTGTTGACTTGGTAGCTCATGGATATGTCATCTCTTTGTGTTTTTTGAACGTTTACTGTTCGTAAAAAAGGAGTACGTAGCATTACGTCCAAGTTATTGGACTTCATGCTTACCGTTGGTAATATTGCCTGCTCATCTCGTCCAAACTTCATTACTAAACTTGCCACCTCATTGCTTGAACATGGCGAGTCCAATAGCAAGTATACCTCTCATAGTTTTAAGGTCCTTTGATTTTTTATCATAATAGAAATTACATTCTCTTCTTATCTAATCTAACTTGAGCTAACCTAACCTAACAAACGCAAAATTGTTTACAAGAATAATTTTTTTCGTCTTTACTTCACCAAGACTTCCTTGATAGATTGTTGGACTATACGCTCGACTAATACCAGAAAATATCCATAGGCCACAATTATGGACGCTATGCTCGCATCGATTTTTCAAACAACTATTTCTCATTAAAGTGCATGGAGTGTAAGAGCTTGTACGTAATAAGCATGTGAGAACTATAAGGGTGAGCGTGGTATCCATATCCGATGTCTTGGACTTGGAAGCGATGCTAGATTACCGTCAAAAACAAACGTTGAAACACAGAAGATAGTGATCATTTTCTTTTTTATGCGGAAAGCAGGTTTCGCTCCGTAAATGCAAATTGGTGAACATGTGTCTTTAGGTGACAGCAGAATTCATAGGAAGGAGATGAGATCAAATCCGATCTCAATCCAAATACTCA